TAGCGCGGGCGGCCAGCGCGCGCGGAGGCGTGGCCCGCCCTCCGGAGGACGCCGCGCCGGCCGAGGCCTCGGACTCGCACTCGGACTCGCACCCCGAGCTGCAGGCACCATGGCCGCGAAGCTGCTGCTCCTCGTCTGCCTGTTCTCGGGCTTGCACGCGCGGTAAGTGGCGCGGGGTCCCGCATCTGCCGGAGGCCGCGCGGGACACGGAGCGGCGGGGGGCGCTGTCCCGGTGCGAGTCCCAGGAGCGCCCCGCCGTCGGCTGGGCTGCTGCAAAGGCGGCCCTGGACCCCTGGCCCGACCCCGCGCAGACAGGCCCTCTGCCTCCCCCGGCTCCAGCCGCCTGTGTGGCCAGGACGGGGGACTCTGCCATTCCGTGGGTCCTTCTCTGACGCTTTCCGAATTTGGTGGGTTTGAGGGGTTCTGAAAACCAAGATCACAGGGCAGCGGGGCTGGGTCTTGCTTTGTCCACGCTGTCCCCGCCCCAGGGGTTCAGGGGTTCACACACGCACCACTCTGAGAGCCCCAGGATCCTGGGAACCTGGTTCAGACCCCAGTGGCAGGAGCTGAGAGCTGGAGACAGGTGGAGGGGGCTGGGGCCAGGGGCCACCGAGTGCCCTGCTTCCCTGGAAGGGCTTCTTCCCCAGCCCCTGGCCCCTCTCCCTCCCTGTCTCCCTTTCCCTCCTGCTGCCCCCCATCAGACACTTGCACACAGGAGCATGCACACCCGTGCCCCATGAGGCAAGCATGTTGAACTGGAGACACGGAATTGTGAGAAATTCTCTCTCAATACATACCCTGACCTTCTCCCCAGAACACCCCGTGGCTCAAGGGAGCTTAGGTACACCCCAGGAAGAGCAGGGGAGGACTCTGCCTTTAGGAGGCAGTGGGGCCAGGAGGGTTAAATCCTCTCGCTTCCTCCCAGCTGGGCTAGGGCTTGCAGGATGCCCTCTGCTTGGAAAATCAGGGAGGTCCTCTCCACCCTGCAGGGCTCAGCACTCCCCCGTGCCCCAGACGGTCCTGCTGGGACACGTCTCCGTCCCCGGATCTGGGAGCTGGAGAATGAGAGCGTCTCCGTGGGCTGCAGGCCACGGCTGCTGGTAGGCATTGCCAGGTCTCCGGTGTCCATTCATAGTCCTGAAGTGCCACGGAGCGGGGAACGTGCATGGGCAGACTGAACGTCTGAAGCCCTCCCTCCCGTCTCTGCTGTGAGGAAAGCCCTGGCCTCCCCTTAGGCCCTCACCTCTGCTGGGGGGAGGGTGGGGAGGCGGAAGGCAGACCCCGAGGCTCACAGACCACTCAAAGAGGCAAAGCCCCTGAGAGCTTTCGGTGGAGTTTCCTTCTGGTCAAGGAAGGCACTCCATGAGGTCGGCTCTGCCAGGCAGACCGGGCTGGCATGACCCAGAGGCCTGGAGCCGCGTCTGTGTGACCGCCAGCCCAGAGGTGGCGACAGCCTAGGGCCAGGTAGTCGCTACTTCAGTCTGCAGGTCTGCAACCCTCCAACACGACAGCCTCCCATGGCCGTCGTCACGCTGTGCTTAGGAGGGACATGTCTAAGCTTCGGGCGTGGAGCACTCAGACTTCCCGGGATCCCCAAAAACACGAACAATCTTGTGGGACCCTCGCCCCAGGGTTGCCTGGCAGGTGTCTGCTGTCAGGTTCTCTATGTGGGCGGCTGCACTGGCCTCTACGTAGACATGGTGTCAGAGGAAAGCTCCCGAAGCGACCCCGTTACCTTACATGCCTGTGCTTGGCAGTGTCTTTGTCCCGTGGGTACAGACGTGGAAGATGCTCTGACCCAGTGTCACCTTCCAAAGCTGTCGTGAATTCTGAGAGGGTTCCGATTTGGACCCTGGAGTACCTTGCTGGTGTTGAGGTTCCCCGGGTTGTGCTTTGTGGAACTCCCGGTGTGGGGGTTCCCCACGTGACACCATGATGAGGTTCTACAGAGGCGCACCGAGTCACCTGTGCCCGGCGAAGCCCACGGGGGGGGCTTGGCCGGCTGTGGAGGTGTAGGAGGCCGAGGTCGTGGCCACACGGGCTGGACTCCCTCTCTGCTGCTGGTGAAAGAGGCACTGTGACACACAGACAGGCCACCCGAGGTTGAGCAGCTGTGACGGGGACAGCACAGCCCCGGGTTATTTTTAAGAAAGAGCTAATTGCAGTGATAGTGTTTAGGATCCAACAATCCAAGGAGCAGAATGCTCATAAAAATTATATATAACTCACTTAGAATTCAGAGGAAAAGACTGTTTCTGTCTTAGCTGCATTCTCATGGCCCCTGAGATGAGATTTGGTTTTCATCAAAGCAAGGCTTCTCTGCGGGGCTGGGGGTCTGGCCCCAGCACTCCAGGCTGCTTCTTCCTTCCTGGACTGGGAGGAGCGCAGCTCCCAGCAGGGGTCCCGGAGCCTCTCCAGCCGGCTCTGCCCACTGCCCACTCCAGCCTGGCCTGCAGCAGGGTCCTGTCGCCCCTCCTGCAGGGCCAAAGGAGGCTCCAGCTCTCCATTCCGGCCACCCCCGCCCCACCCTGGCCTGCAAGGAAAAAGCTTATGCAATTTCAGGGAGAGCCCTCTGGTCACCACTAGAGGGAGAGGCACACTCGTTACATGCCCGTTACTGAAGTGGCCTGAGCATTTCAGAAGGCAAGGCTCTGCGAGGAGAGTGGCACGCACTGCTCAGTGTGCTCGCTCTGTGCCCATGGGACCGCCGGGGTGGACAGCCTGGACGCCTGCTCTGGCTCTGCAGGGGTGTGTAGGAGGGTGCAGGAGAGAGCCGGAGAGGGAGGGGACAAGGAGAGAGCCAGGGAGACAGCAGAGGCTGAGTTGAGAATGCGTGTCTGCGGGGGTGGGCTTTCCCTCTCCACAGTCCCTGTCCCTCTGTCCCTCTGTCCCTCTGTCTGGGGTGACTTGGCAAGGCCTGTGGCTATCCGGATCCTCAGCTGGTTCTTTCCTTCCCGAGGTGATAAAATTAGCTTTCGTGGTAATACCTCTGACAACAGGAAACATTGTAGAATAACACGTAACATGCTGTGGTACTGCTCCTGAAAGCTCGGGGTGCCAGCTAATGAGACTCAGCGTGTCCCTCATTGAATTTGTGTCCTGGCGTGACAGGGGACGCGAGTCCTAGTGGTGGTGAATGCGGATGTGAAAGAAACCCACAGTTTCTGGTTTCCGTGGGTGAGGTACTGAACCCCCTAGCCAATAGGTATTCCAGACATAGAATTGCTGTTGACAACCAGCCTAGGAAGACCCGAATGGGGGGGTCACTCTGCCAGGCCTGTGCCAGCGCTCACTGTGAAGACTGTCCATCCTGGTGCCAGCTCCTCCAGGTCTAGACTCTCTGTCCCTCTCTAGTCGACTCTCACAAGGAAGGGGTTGCTCTAGCCTACCCTTTCTCACTCTCATGCACAGGCACACCCTCTGGCATTCAGGGAAAAGCTGACTCTCGATCCGTTTCATGTTCATCGCGGTTAACGTAGAACATTCTGGGAATTACCTGGGAAGGCCTCACGTCCCAGCGCACAGGGCTCTCACGGCCCTAATGGTAGGGCCCCTGTCTGGGAGGCTGAGCAGAAATGAGCTGCTTTTAGCCGGGCAAACATGCCTCAGCGCCGTGTGTTTGTCTTGTTCTTATGCGGGCGGCAGGGGGTCATCAAGACGCACTTTCTGACAGACTGGCAGGGAGGAGCTGGGTGGTTCCCAGCTTTCCCACCAGGTCCATGTCAGCCCACCTGGAAGTACCGTGTGACGACAGAAAGGCCACCTGCTCTCCACGCTCTGAGCACCAGCGCGCCGCCGGGAGCCCTTCTCCACTGGGGTGTCCCTGTCCGCGTGTACCTCCTGGGAGCAAGCTCTTCTGCTAGGCCCTGCTCAGAGATGCCCCAGTGTTCTTGGCACCCATTTATTAAGAACCCCAAATGCTAAAGACATACACACTGTTTTTTTTGGGGGGGGAGGGGCTTTAGAGGTTTTGGCCTTAGGGTGCAAGTGCCTGCCAGGGGGAAAGAGAGAGAGAGAGGGACAGAGACAGAGAAAGTAAGAGGGAAAGTGAGAAATCACTCCCCAGGGGGATGGCCACACCGCAGTCCCTTCTCCATCTTCCTCCTGGGATCTTGAGCACACACAGACACTCAGCATGAGTTTCAAGCCACCAGGTCCAGGACTTGAACCACAGTTGGCCATGTTGGAGTCCAGCGACATGACCGCTTTGCTGTCTGCTGGCCTGGTGTACACAGGCTTCATTCCTCGTGTTGGCATTAGCCTGCTGTGCCGAGAAGTGTCAGTGTGGACGGAGGCACGCACAAGAGCATGTGCCACCCACCCGCCAGTGTCCCAGCTCCGGAGCCCCTCTGGGCACAGCCAGGGCAGGCTATCTCATGACGTCTGTGGGCAGGTCTGCCGGACCCTGCCTGCCAGTCTCCAGGGACAGCGCAGAAGTCAGACTCCACTCTTGTCCATGGTGGGTCTTGCATAAGCCACTGTCACCGTCGCTAGATGAGGTCTTGAGGTGGGGCTAGAAAGAAGACAAGAGTCGCCATGTGACAGAACCCTGGGAGGCTCACGCCTGGACCTCTGAGGTTCTTGAGGTGGCTCCAGGGAGGGCTCAGTGCCCGTTGACACATCTGGCATTCACGTAGCTAACAAGGTCTGGAGTCGAACGTGGGCACAGGATGGTCGCATGGCATGTAGTGAAACACGATGCCATGCTCACAGCAGCCCTTTTCTTCCCAACGAGCCCTTCCGAATTGGTGTTTTGTTTCGTTTTCCAGCGTGAGAGGCAGTGCGTTAGCTGCGCTGAGTGTACGGGAGGCCCCTTCCGCCTTGGTGGTGCTTACACAGGACAGACTTAGGGCACGTCCTGGGTCCACGTCCTGGGTCCACGTCCTGGGTCCTGCCACTTACGCGTCTCGTTTCGTGCCCTGACTGCAGATCCACGTGAGAGGTAGTGCGTTAGCTGCGCTGAGTGTACGGGAGCCTCTTCCGCCTTGGTGGTGCTCACACAGGACAGACTTAGGGCACGTCCTGGGTCCACGTCCTGGGTCCTGCCACTTACGCGTCTCGTTTCGTGCCCTGACTGCAGATCCAGAAAGGTGGAAGAGGACGAATATGAGGATTCGTCATCAAATCAGAAGTGGGTCTTGGCTCCCAAATCCCAAGACACCGACGTGACTCTTATTCTCAACAAGTTGCTGAGAGAGTATGACAAGAAGCTGCGGCCGGATATCGGAAGTGAGTGAAAGTATACTATGATGGTACCGTTTTTAAGCTTTTACTTTTCAATAATGATAAATTCCCCAATGCTGCAAAGGTCGTACAGAGAGTCTCCTGTACTCATCACAGGATTCATAACTTAGAACGACGTCAAAGCCAGGAGACTGACATTGGTATGATGCGCGTGATGGTTGTGTGTCACATTGTCACACGCGGACTTGAGCGAGGACCCCTGAAATCGAGACACAGGTCTGCCTTGTCACCACCTGTGCCCTCTCACTGTCCTTTACAGTCACTCCCACTCCCATCTCCGACAATTTCTAACCTTCCTGCTCACTTACTTGTTTTCAGTTTCTGTGTCTTATTCTGAGAATGTGAAAGGCAGGAATCACCGACCTTTTGAGACTGGCATCTCTTCACTTGGAAGCATGGTTTCGAGACCATTTAAGTTGTGGCGTGTAGCAGTAGCGTGTTCTTTCTCCTTGCTGAATAACTTGCCGTTGTGTAGACGTACCACAGTCTGCCCGTTCACCTACTAAGGAACGTTTGATCATTTCCCGTTTCTGCCTATTACAAATAAATGGCTGTACATTTTTAGACAGCTTTTTACGGGACATAGTATTCTCTGGGATAAGTGTCCAGGAGAATGGTTGGTGGCCATGTGATGGGTGCATGTTTGGCTTTTAAAGCCACTGTCAAGCTCTCTCCCTGAGTGGCTACTGCATTTTCGGTTGCCATCGGCAGTATCTGAGACATGCAGTGTCTGTGTCCCCCCAGCAATTAGAAGAGCCACTAACTGCTATTTTAGCTGCTCTAAGAGGTCCATACTTAATAGGCCGGCGTCTCCTTGTGGCCTTCACGCTTCCGTAGTTGTCAGTAGTGTTGAACTCCCTGTACGTACTTTTCGCCATCAGTATATCGTCTTCGTGGAGATGCCTCTTTCTGTTCATTGCCCTCGCCAGGCCTCACGCCAAGCCCTGCTCAACCCTACCAAGCCCTGCACTGTACCCTGCACCAAACCCAGCCTGGACCCTGGACCCTGTGTCCCAGAATAGCTGGGCAGGGACAAGGATTCTGCCCATTATAGGCTCCCCACAATGGTGAGGGAAGAGGTTGAGGCCCTCAGCAACAGCTAGGCCTGGAAACCCTGGAAAAATGTCATTTTCCTTCAAGGATGGAGTTCAGGTCCCTCACGATGACACACAGAGGCAGGCCATTACCTGGGTCTTTCTTGCTTGTCCATTCTCCTTTCTTGATGCTCCGTAAAGCGCACAGCATTCCTCCAGGGACGTCAGACCTCCTGTGCCCTTCCCTGGGGCCCTGGCTTCGCTGTCCTCTTGGCCCTGTTCCCCGCTTCTCCGCGGAGCTCCCTGGCACCTTCATTAGGCCTTGGGGCCACCTCCTGTGTGAAGCCCTCCTTCACGCCCTGTTCTTCCCACACCTCGGGGGGAGCTCATAGGTCTTTCCCCAAGCCTCTGGCATCGGATTTTCATCTTCAGGGGCTGATAGGTTTCGAAGGCCCGTCCTGGGACGATGTGATGCATGATCACGAAACAGTCAGCAGCCTGGCGTGCTCTCGACACCGCCCGCAGCCGCCGGTGGTCTTTGCACTCTCCGGTGGCGTGGCTCCCAGCTCCTCGCCGCAGATGCTTCAGCGTTGGCCTCTCCCAGCACGGCCTTCCAGCTGCAGCCTCAGCACACTCTCAGTGCTGGCCACGGTGACTCCGTTACAGGGCACACGAGCGCACGTCCACCTGACCCCCCATTCGTGTCCTGATACAAATGGGGGCCATCGACGGCTGCCCTGGCCGTTAACGCCACCGGAATTATGGATGTCTCTGTTCTGCTGCTCCTTCCCTAACTATCCATCACTCGGAGAACTGCCTCCGCCGCGTCCTTTATTGTTCGGGCCATGCTCAGTGCCATTTATCTCAGGGGCAGATCTTGTCACGGGAGCTGGAAAAGCCTGGAGAGAACTGGGAAAGGGAGGGACGTGACCCGAGTGACTTTCTCTCCCTTCAGGGTTTTGAAAAATCGGAATCACCATCCTAGAACTAGATTATTGGAGAATACAGTCCCTCCCCGTCTTCTGTGCCGTCAGGGCCTGACACAGCCGTGGAGGGCAGGTGGGTGGGCGCCCGGGGAGGCCTGGGGAAGCGCAGACATCATGGGCGTGTCACGCGCTTCAGGAGGACACCCTGATTGTCCTCCGGGCTCTGTCCGTGACTGGAGGGCCTAGTCCTCTACGCCTTCGGGCCCCTGCATGTCTGAACTTCCTCCTCAGCTTTTCTAGATTCTCTTTTCCCAGGGTGCTTAAAACTTGTAGATGTGGAGAAGTTTCATGGGATACTTTATCACTGGAGTTTGTGTAGAAAAGAACAAGGGCTTGTAATTTTGTATCACACACCATATATGTGTGCTGCTCTTCATAAAAGACGTCTGTAAGAGGTACTGTAGAGTGAGGGGGGACAGATAGAAATGGGTCCTATCCAAACCCCCCGTTAGGAGAAATCGGAACAGATAAATGCTGCAAAAGACATTTTCCAGACTCGCACAAAGCACTTCTCTGTTCGCCAGATATTTTATATAATTTTTTGTCATTGTCTAGAGAATTGAGCAAAACAAAGTATTTGCTTGGCTACTTGAACCCGATCTAATGGCCTGTCCGTATTCACAGATTAAACAGGTGGTCTAGGCTTAAGGGAAATTAAGTGGTAAATGTTCTAATTTCCATCATTCCAGAAGTTTCATTTTGATACTTCGTGGTAACCGTTGCTTTTGGTAATGAGATTGGCTAGCCTAAGTCTTCTACAGCGTCTACCAGTCAGTGAAACCTGTGTTTTCGGAATGCAAATAGGCAGAGAGGCTACTCGCAGAGCGGAATCGAGTCCCACTCGGGAGCAGGGTTTCTCGCCTCGGGATCTCTGACGTGGAGGTTGCACAGTTCTTCATCCTGCTTCGCCCGTGCACTGTAAGATGTCTAGTAGCGTCTCCGGGCTCTGCACACTGAGTGCCACTAGCCCCTTTGCCCCACGACAAGTAGAATTGCACCAGATAGGGGGACAGTCACTTAGGAACTGCTGTTTCTAAAGTCAGACCACATTTAGGGAGGGAGAGACATGACCGAAAGGCTCATGTCGATGTTGAATAGATTCAGGTCGCGGAATACAGGTATGTTATATTTAAAATCATACCTTGATTCGTGGACTTTTGAAAGCACGTTTCTCAAGTCTGAAATCATGATATAGCTTCCTGTGTAACGACTGGGGGACAAGTTTCGTTAAAGAACGGAATGTTTCACAAAGCGGGGAGCCCCTTTCCTGTTAACCCAGATACTTCACTTATCATTTCAGGCGAGACTATGCAGCCAGTGTTTATTTTATTGAAAGGTAAAAGCAATAAAAAAACAAGTGGCCACCAAGAATAAATGAATAAATAAACTCGCAGTTGCGAACGGAGGGCGTCTGGTGTCGGGACGTGGTCCCGCGGAGGGGAGTGAGGCATGTGTCACAGGTGTCATGGCACAAGCCGGGGTCCCCAGTCCTTCTCAGCCAAGCGCCCACACACCCCGGACTCGGAGCCCGGGAGCTGCTTTTCTGCAGGCTTTCCAGGGCTGGACCTGACACCTGGGCCCGGGCTCAGGAGTGGAGAAGACCCAGACTGCTCCCTGCTGGGTCGTGCGGGGCGACTTGCGCTCTCGGAAGGAAAGGTGGAGGTGCCCGACAGGGGGACGTGACAGGCACAGAGCTCAGGGCTGGGTCTCCTTGCAGACACAGATTCTGAAACCACAGAACGCAGTGGCGGGTGAGTGGGCCTCAAGGTGCGGTTTTAAACAAGCCGTTCCCTTCGCTCTCGGCTGTCTCGGTGGGGAAGTTCTGAGCATGGTCCAGTTGCCATAGAACCAGAAGGTGGGAGCTTCCAGACTGCCGGGCACAGATGTCAGAGCACCGAGAGAGGGCTGGGCCAGCGGGGGATGCACACGCCCCACCACATACACACACACACACACACACACACACACACGCAGCACTCTTCCCAAGCTGCACGCCACCTGCCCCGCCCACCGCAGGGCCTGAGCGCTACGCTGGGGCACTCGGAAAGGTCTGGAATGGGAAGGGCTGTACCCAGAATCACGTGTCACTAGTGTCACTAACACGCTACAGTTGAGAACGGGTGTATTTGCGTGTCCCTTGTCCTGACCACTTCCATACAGTACGAGAGTCCCTGCTCGACCCTGAAAGAACACGGAGCAAAGGCTGGGGGGGGGGCGGGGCGGGCCTCTTTTGTATGTCCGAGCAGGAGGAGTGGGAGGTGGCGTGCTGGGTGTTTGGGGCCCCTCGGTCCAGCATGCCTGATGGCTCCCAGGCCGGGGGCCCCAGGCTGTTCGCAGCCGGACACCCCTCTGACTGACCCATTCCAGATTAACCTTCCCTTTCTCAAGCCATGTCGGGTAACCATGCCAACAGCACCTGTGGCTCAGGCCGGCCATCCTCCCCTGAAGCCCACAGCCAACCACGCCGATGGGAGCTGGCCTTTCCCAGCAGTCTCTGTAACCCAGAGGCACTGACCCCACTCCCAGAACAGGTGCAGCAGGGAGCAGCCAGACGGAGAAGCCATTACCGTTGCTGGTCTTCGTTAGCTGCTGCTCCCTCAGGGTAGCTCCGCGCCTGGGGGAGGAGAGCACATTCCAGGGAGAAGGTCCGCCTGTCACCTCTGAGTGACTCCTGAGGCCCGGGGGCCTGCCGAGTTAAGACCTCCGCTTCACAGCACAGGTGACCCCACATCCCGCATCAGCGAGGCCGTGGTCCCTCACATGCAAACCTCAGTACCTGAGGCCCGCCCAGGCCGAATGCTGTGTGCGGCCCGGCTCCGTACAGCCCCTGGGGCTCAGTGCACTGCCGTGTACCAGGGTCCACGCTTTCTCACAGGAAGTGGAGGCGGTCCCGGGGCTGAGAGCTTCGTGTTTCCTCCCATGGGGTTTGGTAAACGGCCCGGGCGTGGGTCCCTGGGTTTGATCT